AAAAAAAAAAAAAAAAAAAAAAAAAAAAAAAAAAAAAAATAAAAGAGAAACGAAAATTCTTACTATAAATTACGGTGAAAATCACACCAACAAGGTAAGTATACTTTTTTGTAATCACCTTTTTTTCAATCTTAGTAATCATATACGTAGCTTAATTATTTTAAGTAGCCACCATGTGGATTAAGAAACTTACGTATACGTGAATGATACTGCATAGTCGGCAAACGATAGCCAAATATATAATTCATTTTGTACATTTGTAACAAGCAATAAGTATATCGCCAGGGGGTAACTTGGTCAACGGATAATAATATATATGAAAAATTACGTGATTAAATAAACCAACTTTGCAATTCGAAATATTGTCATTCGCATGGGATTCCCTCTTTTGGCAATAAGTACATCAGTGATTGGCAAGGGATAAAATTGTATCGTACGCAGGGATGGGACCGGTTATTTTTTAGATTTTTACTTCTTGGAAGGAAAAGATATAACCAGTCGTCAAAAAAGAATTCCTTCTTAATGTACAGTCCAACCTTATCGAAACTTTGTCCTTGTGGTTTATTGATTGTCATTTCAAAGGCTGGTACAATTAGAAATCGTTTTTAATAGAGAACAAAAAGTAATGGTAAAGAATTTTCCGTGTGTAGAGTGATTAACGGAATGAATACTTTATTTTCTACGTTTTTACCATAATTTCCTGTCTAATGTTGTATTTAAACAATTTTGAAGTTTTTAATCTTGTTCTATTGCACAAGATTGAAATTTACATTAGATTTAGTTAAATATCTGATGAACATTACTATTAATTTGACTTTTAAATGTATAGTTCATGTGATGGGAGACCTTTATTTATATTATTTAATACTTCCGGAGGAGAATTTAAAAGTATACTATTATCAGCTCGATCAACATCTTTATGAGTTGCATAGTCGATGCTGTAATAACTTTTAACATCATCTTTAATCGTATATTTATTATGTGTTGTTAAAATAACATTGTTTGAAGGAGTATCATTTGCGTCATATTGAACGTACATCATTTGTTAACTAGTCAACAGGAATGGAAAATTTTTCGATTTTTCCTTTAGCTACATTTAATAGCATTAATGAAAAATTTTAATGAACCAACGATTTTTTTTCCAATCTTTATCTTAAATATCACCTAATATAATAGTCCACCAAGAATTTAGAAATAACTAACTAATATTATTAGTTTGTATTTAAATGGTTTTTCACAACTACATAAATCATTCAAAATGTTGTTTAGTATTTCTAAAGCCTTTTTAAAAAATCACTCTGTCCTAATTTTAAACTATTACATCTTCTTGTAATACTTTTTTATCAGAAGCTTTGTCTGAAATTACGCTTTCTATATAATACTCTCATCTAATGGCAGCTGAAAAGGATGATGACCAGTCATGCCTTTAGGTACTAATATTAACGAAATACCTGTCTAAACCATTGATAAAATAATTTTGTTTTATAAAAGTATAGAAATACTTTTCTTAGTTTTGTACAAAAATGTTTTACTTGAACTTCCTGGCCCATCAACAAAGTAAGGTTTAATGTTATTTTTATAACAGATCGTTTCAAAAATAAATTTTTGATTTCCATATAATTTTTTAAAAGTAGATCTAAAACAATTTTTGCTTGATTCAATATCTATTTTTCTGATCTTATTATTTTCTGGTGACATTGTTTCTCATATAGGTTAAGGTAAGTCGAAATTTATGCAAAATTTTTTTTCTTATTTGAATATGCTATTAAAATTTAATGATTAGTGTTATTTGTTTTCGATAAAACCTTCCATGAATATCCTCCTTTCTATTGATGTTGTGTTTGTCGAGTTTTATATAAAG